AGGTGCCCTGACAGCCTGGGACCCCAGCTGCTGCAGGGAGAGCAAAGGCTCATCCATCCCAACCAGCCAGCCTCTCACAGTGGGGATGGTGGGCAGCCAGAGGTAAAGCTCAGAGGTTCTCTCAGTTAAAGAATGGCAGGGGGTTCTCGTAAATGAAAACTACGCTCTACTGCGGCAGAAAATGGAGACTTTTGCTTCTGGAATAGTGAAAACAAGTCAGGTAAAAGGGACAGGAAATAAGGGATGGGTAAAAGTGAGAAAGGGGACACATTAACCTGGTGGATAAATCTGGAATCCTAGGTTCACCGAGTGCTTTGTAAAGTCCACCAGTGCTCCTCTGGTCACGGATTACTGTTTGCCTTGCCTAAAACCTCATCTTTACCCCTCCACATCTTCCCCTCCACCATCTAGCGCCTGCTAAATGTCCACTTTCAGGAGATTGACTGGCTTCTTGTGAAACCACCAATGCAAAATCCAGGGTGTTTCTGAAAACGTGATGCAGCTTTAAAATTCGCTGACTTCAGAAGTACCCAGGAAAGATGCAAAGTAGTAATGAAAACTTATTTGATGGCCATGTTCCACACAACAGAGTTTAATTGTGTAAACTTTGGCACAGTCACCATCTATAAGTGATGCTGTGATGAATCTCCTCTTCCAACACACGGCTTCTACACTTAAGGGTGAGAATCACTCACTTAACGGTGAGTGATTTTATACACTACATGCCCACACCTAAGGGCCCTGAGATGAACACTGTTACCAAAGAGTATTTTAACACAGACCCATAAAATGGGTGGCCGGAACATAAGAACAGCGTGGCCAAATTCTAAGCCTGCCTTTCTGGCAGAAGGTACAACCATGGATTTCGCTGGGATAAAAGGATAAGAAAATTCTATACCAGTGACTCTTGATTCTTTAAAACCTCCAATAATATATTACTTCCTCTGGGTGCTACAGACACAGATTAAAACATGAAAACAAACAAAAAATCCCTTCCTATCTGAGTCATTCATTTCACACTATTATAAACACTCTTGTCTAGGACTTTCTTAGGACCAGGAATGGATCAGGCATCTTGAGCCTTTTTAACTCTCATTTTTGACAATTCACTCTCTAACATAATCCAATCAATGAAAGTATTAGTAAAAAAGCCGCATGTTACAGAAATGTATGCCAAAAGATTAAAAAAAAAAAAAAAACACCTCAGTGGTGACTCACTTCTGGACATGTAGTGATTGGGGTGGTGGTTGTTTTTTAAAGAAATTAAGAAGGGCAATTTTAGGCAAATACCCTTTTAGTTACAAAACAGCAATGTATAAGTTGCCTATTTGTCCTATTTAAAGAAGGAAATGAAAGTGGTTTGTTTTAAACAAATACATCTGTACAAACAACAGCTTACCTTAGTGTTATTGGCATCTCCTTCATTCCCCCTCCACAAAAAATTTAAGGGACAAATGACATAAGTGGGTGTAACCACCTTCCCAGGCTGGAGCCTCTAATAAGGAAAACCCTTCCTGGAATGCCAGAAGTTCCCTGGGGTATGGGAGTCTTCTATCAGCCTCCACTGGAACTTACACACATCCTTTATTTTTCAACAGTGTGACATGATACCCACAGCTCACTAACATCTCTGTGAGGTCTCTCGGTGCCTGTGTGAAGCCCAAGCATCCAAAATCTATAAAGCTAATATACCATGTTTACTTGCATTTGCCACAATGCTCTGCACTACAAATGGATTAGGTACAAGGTATCTTCAAACATTATTTTCTAGGTTTAGCCTCTCTTCCTTTCTCGGCTGCCTCAAAACTTAACAATGTGGATCACACAAATACAGATAGCAGATCCCTGGTATTACATCAGCCAAATTAGAAAAGCAAATTTATCCACAACTTTTCAAGAATACATCCGCTCCATTATAGGGAGGCACGCGACTATCTCTAGCTAAGTATTTTAAAGAAAACACACAGTTTTAAAAGGTCAGCTGTCTGGCCCACAGCGAAGTTGCTGACTTTATTAGCTAGCTTATCGACTTGGGATCTCGTCCTGTTCACTTTTTCCATTGGGCTTCTTAAAGTTTATGTGTGTCATGAAATGCTTAGCTAAAGCCAAAAGGCTAAGTTTTTCTCTCTGCAGTATTAAGACATCGTGAAACACTCTAAATTTAAAAGACCACCTACCACACAATTTTCCCATTTAGGGGCATGGGGCAGTGATGATTTTCCTGGTTCTGGTGGTTGAAATGGCTGAGAAGATACAAAGTCAAGGTTCAAAAACCACAAAGTATTTCAGCATGCATACTGTACACAGACTATTCTGCTATTAAAACATGGAACTTCCTTTTCACTGAAATTACAAGCACGAAAAAGCAGATGATGCATGCAACCTCCATTCTTGAACATATTAAAATTTTGCTGTGTCAAATGGAAAACTGGCTGCGAAAATGACTGAGGCACAACACACTTTTCTTTTTTTAAAATCATTCACCAAGGTCCCTAAAAATGATGCCTCGCCTCTTCCACAAGATCCATCTACATTCTTTTTTTTTTTGAAATGGAGTTTTACTCTTGTCACCCAGGCTGGAGTGCAATGGTGTGATCTCAGTTCACCACAACCTCCACCTCCCTGGTTCAAGTGATTCTCCTGTCCCAGGCTCCCAAGTAGCTGGGATTACAGGTGCCCACCACCACACCCAGATAATTTTTGTATTTTTGGAAGAGACGAGGTTTCACCATGTTGGTCAGGCTGGTCTCAAACTCCTGACCTCAAGTGATCCGCCCACCTTGGCCTCCCAAAGTGCTGGGATTACAGGTGTGAGCTACCTAGCCTGGCCCCATCCACATTCAATGTGGCTCGGTGCATCACACCACCACACACCTGTCCCCCCACCATCCCACTCCCATTTGCAGGTCCAGGTCATTTACTCACAAAGAATGTGTCTTACAGGATTGACCCTAGTGGTACATTACACTCACTAAAGTAGATCTTAACCAAATAATGAATACTGGTGCCTGTGGAATATGAGTCAATTTTTTTTTAAGCCAATCACCAGCAAAGATGGTTAAATGTCTTATCAAAAGTCAATTATCAGTAACTCCTTTTGGAGTTTCAGTTACAGGCAGAAATCTAAGAAATACCATATGTACTTCTAGATACTCCATAGCCTCTCTGTGCACTGGGGAAAGACAAGAGCCATTCAATTCACAGACATACCAAAATGAGACATGGACAAGATCAGCTATATTGAGGCAGCTGCCCTATGAAAACATCTAGGACTTAGCCTAACACTTGCTATATAATGAACACACAATCTCCCAGGTTCTACCAATTACTTCCTTGGCAAATGCAGGTTTGTCAAAGTCTCTGCCTAGCCTGTCCTACATCAAGTGACTCCAACATGACTTTCCTCCAACAAACATGCTATCTTTGGTAGGAAGGTAGAAGGGTGGAGAATGACTTGCATCCCTGCATACTTCATACTAACGAAATTAGGCTGGTTTTGTTCTATGCCCTGAGATAGAGGGGACCAAACAAAGGATTGTGGGTGAGAGCAGTTTGCTGGAAAAGGCAGGCACTCGGCTATCAGATGCAACCTGTACTCCAGCTAAGTCTCCCCAAACCAGCTTTCCTTTCTCCTTACTCCCCCACACTCAGTCCTTAAATACTGTCAAAGTAAATAAAAGCTGTTCTAATCCCAGGTCTGGTCCTCATGGCCACACAAACATGACTCTGCAAAACTGTGCGGACAACTGCATTTACCTGTGGCAAAGTGAACCAGGATCGATAAGCCAAAGTGGGTTTAGATTTGGTTAGGTTTAAGCTTGCATAAGCACAAAGAGAAAACCACCCACTCTCAAATTCAAAGAACCAGTGCAAAAAGCACCTGCACAAACTCATCAGGATGGTTTATAAGGTCACAGGCACCTGAGAAAAGATTGTTTATTCCTAGGGGCATGAAACAAATGGCAGGCCTGTCACACTGCTAGTGTCAATATTTATAAGGCCTGGGTTTTCAGGATGGTATAAACCAGGCACCTTTTCAATTCAGTTATTCACATAATTCACCATTACAAAGCCCCAAAACAGAGATTCTTTTACGGCTTGAATTTCTTTTCTTCCACTTCCATACACAGGGTGCTGGCTGCAGGATCCATGGTCTGTGTCAGCAATAATCCCTGCAGCATGGGAATAAAGTGTACAATGTATTTCAGAACTGCTGATATCAAATGGCACTGCACCTGAAGAGATGGGGAAGGGAAACAGAGCACCTGCCTTCTTCCTTCCTATGGCAAGCGTGTTTTCTGGAAATGAGCAAAGCTTAGGCCCTACAGTAAAGTAAATGAACCTCAAGAGTCACACCTAGGCATGTCTAAGTGTGACTTACACTGCAGGATTAATCCAGCAACCAATACTCAAAGGTACATAAAGCTCAAATAGCCGTATCTGGCCAGCTCCAATTCTCTCCAACTCCTTCCTCTTTCACTCCTTTCCCCCTTAGCCTCCCCTCTCCCCCAGATAAAGGCCTAATCACAATTCTGTTTCCCAAGTAAAAGTCAAAAGAAATAAGCAGTCCATTACTATCAACTTTAAGAGGTCCAAGAGACCACTGAAAAACAGCTGTGGAAACCAGGTTCACAAATGGATTTCTCCAAGTCTCTCCCTATCTCTCAAAGTCCTCAAATCCCCCTTTTCCAAGATGCCACACTGCAGCTCCCTCAGTTAAATCTGCTGACATCTTCCTGAGAGACATCCTGCTGTATAAATCAAAGTACTAGAAAAGATAGCTGTCTCTCCAGGGTCACATTAAAGAACCTGCCTCAAAACCCTCTTTAAAAGTTGCTAGCTAAGTGGCATTAAGTAGATTTCTCAAGCCAGCTTCCTATTATTCACTAAACCTAATTTTCTGATTCCATACACAGAATTCTTCCCAACTACTGGGATCTTTACCAAAGTCCTCACGAGGACTCTGGATACTCAGTGCAGCCTGGTAAGGATCATCCTACTTATATATACCAGCAGGCTGCAAAACACTTCCATTCTCTTCAAAGCGAAATTGTGATGGCAACTGATGTGCCATGACGCATGACGCACATGTGGTCCATAAGGAACCAGCATTCCTACCTCTACTTTAAATACGCCTGAGAGCAGGCAGAAACTGAGCCCAAAATGGTAGCAGATGAGGGTGTGGTCACTTTTATTTTTTTCTTACATAAAAATATACTTAAGGAGCCAGTATTTCCTCACACACGCTGAAGTTAATAATTCACAAACCAACTAACATTCATCAAGGATCAGAAAATTTAAAGGTTGTTTGCACAAACACTCCTGTTCTTGCTCTTACTTAACAGCTGTTTTTTTTAACTGATGGCTGCTGTTGCCATCAGGGCCAGGTGGCACTTCAAAATGTTATTTGTTGAGCCAGACACACCATGACCCGGGTCATCTGCCCTCTGGATTCCATGGTATCCAAACTCCTGTCCTTAATTTTGCCTCTCAGACGGAACAGTTAGATAATTCTGGCAAGGCAAAAATACAGGACAAGATGATCCTAGTTTGCTGTTAGAACATTACTGTGATTATGCTCTCCCTTTTCTAATCCGGCCCCTCCAAATGGACAATCCCCAAAGATGCCAAGGCACAATGGAGCAGTAGGTAGGGCTGGAATTACCTCATCTGAGAGGCAAGCTGCCTGGACTTCAGCCCAGGATGTCTTATTACAAGGGGAAGATCAGTTTCTATACCTCCGTCATCCCCTAAAAAGGAGGACCCAATCCCCTCTCGCCCCAAACCTTATCCTGTCCACCTTTCTTCCTTTATCTCACTTAAGTCCATTCTTTCATTTTTAAAAATGTTATCATCAGAACCAGAAAGGTAAAATCATGCAGAAGTATATTGGGGACACACCTACGGAAAGGGGAGGGGGAGGAGGATCGGGGAGGACACTGATCTAATAAAGCCTTCTCCAGCAACTATTTGAGTGGCACACTACAGGATAGGAGTGGCCTGCTGCAGGATAGGAGGATTACCAAACAGCTCTGGGCGGTTGTTTTGACCAAAGAAAATTAAACCTTGAGGGTATGAGTTAGCTGCAAAGCCAAGGACTTCCTACCAACACATGACACACAGCCTAGGTTTGTAGGCCTGCAATGGCTTCAAGGCAACATCAACATCTACATAAGCCTTGTTAAAGAGGTTACACATTAACCACAGCACATCTCCACACCTTTTATTAGGTGATAGGATGAAAATCCATCTCCACACCTTTTATTTCCCGCCTATGAACGGACTTTCTGGAAGTTGCTACCACAGAATTGGAAATAAATGGAGATAAATCCAGTTTTTAGTTTTATGTTTTTTTTGTTAATACACAACTAATTTCAGTGCATGCAGGAGGTCCTGAAAAGGTAACCCAGTTAACATGGGGCAGAAAATAACAGTTAACCCCAAAGGGCAGATGTGTAGAACAGCCAACCCATGGTTATCGCGACAGGTGTGTGCCAGCAGGAGTTTCAGGGACATGATAAAGCAGTGTCCCGGATATTGTCAAGGCAGAAAACTCAACGGTAACTCACAGTTGGTGTGGAAATAAATACGCAAGTGTTTATTAAGCACTTGCTGTGTGCAGGAGGCCCACACAGGTCAATAAGGTAGGCACTGCCTTCAGTGTCTGCCCTCACATTTAAGACTCCAAAGCAATTTCCTCCAACAGCTGTTTACAATGCAGATTCCCAGGTCCTGGCACACTAAATTCTGACTGGAGGACTAACAGAGGCTACCATGTCATTATTATCTCACTTGTCTAGACAATGCAGCCCACTGACCACCTCCCTAACTCATGGATCTCCAAGGGTGGGGTGTGGGGAGTCAGTGTTTTTTTTCAACACGTCCCGGAAGGCCTTTTCTCAAGCTCACCACCACCCTCCTGTCAGTTTATCTAGAATGGGACTAAGGAGTAGGAAATTAAAAACTAAACTCAGAAAACCTGACCCTCTACACCCAGGCCTGCAGAAATTTAGTACTAACTCCCTGAGTAGCTCAATGAGCCATTTTCCTTCTGGTTTCTTGCTAAAGAAAACCACTGCAGACCTCGGCTCCCTTTCCCATTAAAAGCCACCGGGGCCATAGTTTTCAATTAGCTCTGTCAGCCCACCACCCTGCAGCCGCCCAAGTTCAATACATCCTCCCTTCCCCCAGCTTCTGGTCTCCACCAAGCACTTCACACCTCCCTATTGTAAACCTGTCCAGAGCAATTACCCTCCCTGCACTTGGACAGCCTCAATACTGCACTTCTGTCTAATTTATAGCTGCAAAGCTCCATGGGCAAAGCAGGCCTGCCCTGGAACAGAGGAAATGCAGAGAAAACGGTCAGGCTCTTCCACAGATGCATGTGCACTGCCCATTTCCTTAGGTTACAGGACAGCAAATTCTCCCATTCTCCTACTGACACTATGTAATAAGCTCCCCTAGAGTGTCTGCAGTCTGGATTCACTGCAAGAAGAACCAGTGCTCTTTCCTGCCACATTTTCTTCTTCTGTCGAGCTTCCAAACCGGGACAAGTTATCAGGTAAGTAATGTCCATTACACTTCTACCTGAAGATCTTAAAAGTCTTAAAAATAAAAATTCTTCTCGCCTGAGGAAGACAGACAAAGCACACTACCAGGCGAATACCCCAAGCTGTTTGAAATTGTACTTTCTAAACATGCTCTGCTTACCACTGAGCAATAAAAAGACAAATGACCCAACTAAAATACAGGCAAAGAACCTGAATAGACATTTCTCCAAAGATACACAAATGGTCAATAAGCACATGAAAAGATGCTCAGTGTCATTAGTCATTACGAAAATGCAAATCAAAACCACAACAAGATACAACACATCCACTAGGATGGCTAAAATTTTAAAAGTCAGGTAACAGCAAGTGCTGGTGGGGCTGTGCAGAAGTGGGAACTTTCATACCTTGTGGGTGGAAGTGCCATATGGTCCACACAGCCGCTCAGGAGACAGTTTAGCAGTTCCTCAAAAAGTTAAACACAGAATTGCCATATGACCCAGTAATTCCATTTCTACGTATATGCCCAAGTTATACACTCAAGTGAAAACATATTCACCACAAAAACGCATGCACAAATGTTCACAGCAGCATTGTTCATTACAGCCAAAAAGTGGAAATAAACAGTGTCCATCAACTATGGATAAAGAAAATATGATGTTGCCTCATGATGGGAGCATTCTTCAGCCATAAAAATTAATGAAGTGCTGATACCTGCTACAATCTGGAAGAATCATGAAAACACTGTACTAAATAAATAAGTAAAAGAAAAGGCCACATACTGCATGATTCTGTTTATATGAAATGTCCAGAACAGACAAATCCATAGAGACAGAAAGTAGGTGTTGCCAGGGGGTGCTGATGGGTACAGGGTTTTATTTTGGGGTGATGAAAAAGTTCTAGATTATTAGTAGTTGCACAACTCTATGAACATACTAAAAACCCAGAATCCTATCATTTAAAACGATGAGTTTTGTGGTATTTAAATCACATCTCAATAAAGCTGTTATATTTTTTAAAAGTCCTGTTGCCTGCCTTGGCAGGCACTCAGAATTCCAGGCTGAAAATGCCACCTAGATATTTCTACACCATAGATATGCAGAAATAACTGCTCCTCTACGTGCTAGGAGATAAATGAACACCCAATCAGCTTCTTTGTGCTTCCCAAATTGTCCTGTACTTACTCCCGAGCCCTGCCCATGAGTCCAGCAGGTGCAGAAAATATCCGCTAGAGTTTACCCTCCCACAGAAAACAAATTCTTCGCATTTTGAAAGAGCATTTCTTTTCTTCCTTTGAGAAATTATTTAATAAGGCTGTGGAAAGCAGGGTTCCCAGTGGCCAGTCATTCAAAAATTAAGACCAAGCCAGAAGGCAGGAGGAAATGTCACCACAACGAGGAGAGAATTAATTAGTTAGATTAAGATTAGGATATAACCCTTTTCTGTGATTGGGGCTGACGGATTTGAGAATAATAGCACACGATTTCAGGAAAGTCCCTCCAGAGTAAAAGCTAGGAGGGTGGGGGTGTGAGACTATATGTTTCAGTGTTAGATTAAAATTTGTTGAAGTTGATTGAAAACAGATATAAATAGCCAATGGTCCCCCTGCATAGCACAGGTATGCCGGTCCTCTGTGGCTGAGGTCCCTCTACATCTCAGACCACACCTCAGCACTGCCCTCGCCAGCAAAGGTGCAGTTAACCAGGAGGGCCCAAAGTCTAATGGGGCCAAGATGCTACACAACATCAAAGAGATTCCAGTTGCTACCCTCATGCCATAAACTCTTTCACCCAACATCATTCACACTTTCAGAGTGCAAAGTTCACTCTGATATTGGTGGCTTTCTCACTTTGTAGCTTTTTTGGCAAGTGCCCCTTGGCCTGGTTGTTCATTAATATATAATCAGAACATTAAAAGCATTGTTTCACCTTCTAGGTAGGCTGTGGCCAATTTAATAAAGCCGGCATTGTCCCTAGGGTGGGGGGAACCACCTGGAAATTGGCAGAAAATTCAAAGATGCACAGACCAGAAGGTGTATGTATACACACACACACTCACATGCACACGCACACGTACACGCACACGAGTTAAGTGTTTCACAAGATGTTTTTGATACTCCCCATGGCAAATGGGCAAAATTAAAATGCTTCTCTCACCACAGAAATTGACCTGGCATTTCTTTCCCTTAAGCCTTTCAATACCAAATTACTCCTTACTTTTAAAACCTTTACAGGAAGCAGTGATCTTTGTGGCAGGAAGACAAACAAGAAGGGATGGTCTGAAACTCTATCACAATTATCTATGAGAATGCTGGTTCAGTGCACTACTTTTACTTTTCAAATCACACACACACAATGACAACTCACTTTCGAGACCATGTTTACTTTGCTGAAAGCCACATTCTAAACATGGGCTCGCTTGCAGAAGGGAAGCGGCTTACAATTCAACCTTGTTTATGCTCCAAGTAGGTTTGACAGAAAAACCACATCAATTTGTTTTAAAATAATTTCCATTTGCTGGAAGCTGTTCCTGAAAGGTTCTCAGCCATGCTAATTTGCACTGATTCCTACCAGCTGTAGGTACCAGGCACCCTGGCCAGACAGGGCAGCCTGGGCACAGGCATGCTGGCTCTGCAGAGGGCTGCCGCTGTGCGGGATCCACAGAGCCACTTCAACAGTCCCCTCCAGAACACACAGTCCACATCAGTTTAAGAAGAACCCAAAAACATGTCCTGGTTCCAAGTGTGTGACCCGCCTGCTGAGAGCACAGTTTTCTATGCAATTACACCTGTGCTCTCTCAGAAACACAGCTTCTCTAGTACCAAAGAGATGTACTGTGCTCAAGCCCAAAGTCCACAGTTGAGGACAGCAGATGATTTACTGGGCTGAGCATCAAAAGAGGATGGAAACTCAAAAAGGAAATATCTGTGAGTACCCTATGAAATATCTGAGAGTACATCATCCAAAGAAATGCAGATTAAAATAATCTGAGGCAACTTCCATCCATTAAACTGGTATATGATGACAGAAATAAACAGCATTTAATGTTTGTGAGGGAGGGTGTGGGACAAGCATAAGTTCACAGGTAAGTTGGCAGCCTCTTTCTTAGAGGCAGTGGTACTGAAAGCATTAAAAATCTGCATTCTCAGGGCTATTTGGATTGAGTAATTCATCCTAAGGAAAACAAAATGGTTAAACATTTATGCATAAGGATGTCTAACAAAGCTTAGCAAAAAGCCTAAATACCCAATATCAGGGAAATTTTATGAGTTTTATAGTAAGTTTTGTACTAATTCATTATAGAATATTAAAGCATATTTTTAAAACTGTTAAAAGTCAGGGAAAATATTCATGATATTGAGTCTTTAAAATGTAACTGAAATAGGTATTCAGCTTCAGACACTACTCGAAATATATACACTAAAACAATAATAATTTTATCACTGGATAATGAAATCAGTTGTTCTTTTTTCTTTTGTACTTTCTTCTTTATTCAATAAATGCCTAACATATGTCACCAGAAAATCAAAAGTAATAAAAACATAGTAACTGAGCTAACAGGTCAATAGCAGCCCCTCCAGCAGCCCCCCTACAACCACCAGCAGAGTAATCTGCCTAGACTAGCTCACTAGGGACAAAAGGCTTCCCTACAGCGTCACAGTCCAAGACCTCAATACCATTAAAAGAAATGCGTGAGGCCGAGCTCACCCAGCAGAACACAGCTTCCCACTGCTCCTTGCTAGCACGCCTGGGAGACTGCCCAGAGAGAAGCTATGCGAGCTGTGTTAGCAGTGCTTCCTCTGCCACAGATGGAGATCCTGCGTGTCTGAGGATGGGGTGGAGGCCAACGTCTCACGTCGGTGGTCCATGCTGAAAAGGGCCAGACTGAGAAGTGTATCTGCCTGAAGTCTCCTGCCATAGAGGCTTCTATCAATTTACGTAGTTACTCGGGCTGGGTCCACAGAGGGCAGGGCAAACTGTCCTTAGTGTTATTACAGCTCCCTCTGGTCAAGGAAAGCAATCTTTCTCTCTGCCAGCAGCAAAGAGGGAGAAAAGTTACCTTGGCCTGGTCATCCTTCTTGTCAAAGCAGAGGCTCAAGTAAAGTAACTAAGAGCTCAAGCAACCAAAACCAGCTGCCTGGCGAGGGCTCAGCATAAACTGAGCAAAATAACCACAAGGGGAAGGGTGTCTAGACAGCTTCGGTCTATGGAAGAAGCCACCCTCCCCTGCAGTGTCAACTCTGGAAAAGCAGGCTCCAAAACTCGGCTCCAGCAAAAGAGCAGATGAGAGACCATGTCAACAGCTGGGAAGGGCACCGCGGGCTCCCTCGCCAAACGCAACACAGAGGAGAGCGGCTGAGCCTGGCCCACCTGCCAAGGACAGCCACCAGCAATCCAGCAGGGATGCAGCACCCAAGGACCCCATGTGGGGACAGTGCACTGCTTAAACTACAAAGCCACTTCAGTGACAATTATTGCATATGGGACTTCTCCAAAATTCAGAGGGACTAAAAAGACCACCAATTCTAAATGTGGCAGGTAAACAGCCTGTCACAGTTTTCAACTTCGGTTCTATTTGCTGCTCCTTCCTTTCCATTCTAAGTTTCTGAACACTTAGAGACTTTGGCGGAGGGTGGTGAGGGGTATAGGAAGCTACCAAACAGGCAAGGTGTATTCAGGAAATACACAGACAGTGAAGCCTGGGAGGCCTAAATTATTCTACTCTCTGGCAGAAGTATTTCCATAGTAGGTATAGGATTCTATAGAATGAATGCCACTATCTATACTGATATCTGTCATGAGCATTTGATGTATCACAGGCTTCACACTAGATTCTGGGAATATAATGGTGGATTCAGGGAGCTTATAGACTAATGGGGCAGTCAGAAATGAATCAAATATTCACACAAAACTTCTGTACATAGCACTGCAGAATCCTCACAATGGGAATTTAACTCAAAGGGAATGTCAGCAATGGTTTCTATGGGGAGAAACGTTTAAGACAGATGAACAGGAATTTGTAAGGGAAAGCAAAAAGAATCATTCTCCAGACAAAGGAAATGGTGGGTGAGGGACATGGGACACAGCAGTACAGGGGGAAAAAAAAAAAAAAAAAGAGTCTTTTAAAAAAAAAAAAAAAGCCCCATGTGGTGGCCAGGGCAGGTGAAGCCAGATAAGAGGTGTGAGAAGAGGCAGGTG